GGGAAACGGGGGAGTTTTAGTAAACCACCGTACGCGACCCCGAGGGCCTCAGCGGAAACGTCTGACCCGCGTGGGTGGGAAATCCCCCCCATCCTACCTGGCAGCGTCCTTTGATGGTGGGCCACCGCTCGCACGTCCACATCTGAGCCTCCCACACTCTGGAGGAGAGATAGACCGAAATGAGAGGGATAAATTCCTGGGATCTGCCCCAATTCCACTGCTCCAGGAGGAATCGCAGACGTCAGACCCGACTACCCACCCATTTTTTCCTCCCCCCCGCCGCATCGGATGGGATAGGAGTGGGAGTGGTTAGGACACAAAGTATGCAGATCCGCTTGGGTTTGGAGCGAACAAAAACCATAATAAATAAAACGTTTTTGCGGGCAGGGAGCTCACCTGAACACCGCAGAGGGGGTGGCCGCCAGGACCTTGCTGCCGTCGGGTGACCAAGCCAAGTACGTGACACCACCGCCCCCAAACCACTGCAGCTGGACGCAGTTTTCGGTGGACACGTCCCACACCTGGCAGAGGGGACAACGAGGAGGGTAACGACACCGGGACCCAAATGCCGACCAGGTAGTTAGCACAGCTTTGGGGTCATTTTTACGTGGATTAGGCAATACAGAGTGTTGCTTTCCGATCTAATCAAATTCAGGAGCTGCCTACTCCATCCTCCGAGGAAACGCTGCCCGTCCCCAGCCGAACCGTCCCTCGGTGACCCCGCAGCGGGTGTCCCAAATGCCTCTTACCAGCATGGCCGTGTCAACCGGTGACGCCGAAAGCAGCAGCTCCCCGCTGGGAGCCCACGCCAGGCTGGTGACGGGGCTGTGACCCGGGTAGGACAACACCTGAGCACAGCCGGATGACGGTCTGGAGGGCAGGAGGAGGAGAAACCACCGTGGTTAATCGTGGCAAGGGCTGGCCCACGTGCCACCAAAAGCCAGCGCGGCGTCCCCTCTGACCCAGGACCCAAACGGGCTCGCAAACACCCCCACGACGGGGCTGGGGAGACGCGTGGGGCCATCACCTCGTGGAGAGGGAGGTGGGATCCAGGTGCCACACCAGGACGCAGCTCTGGCAGGCGACGGCGAGGATGGAGGCGCAGAGCGGCTTCCAGGCCATGGCGGCCACGTTCCTCTGCAGGCGATGCTTCAGCGAGGGGATGGTGGCGCTGCCGGAGAGGAGGGAAGCGTGACAAGAGGAAAAAAATGGGGGATCGAGAGTCCTCACGCAGCCTGAGGTGG